ACTTCCATCGATAATATTGGTTATACCAGTTAGTATATTGAATGTAATTACTTACTTCCACTCGATAATATTGGTTATACCAGTTAGTATATTGAATGTAATTACTTGCTTCCATCGATAATATTGGTTATACCAGTTAGTATATTGAATGTAATTACTTTTTATTTTGATTTGTCATTCATTATTACTTTTATTATAAAGATTATTTTGAATATCTAGCTAATAATTTTATTTAGGACTAACCTAAATTTCCTAAGCTGGCCAAAGTTTACAAGATACTTCAGGGTTTATGGACAACCATATCATTAACAGCAACTGATGAAACAATACATTCTAATCTTTATAAGTAGAAGTGCAAGAAAAGTATATTTAATTAGCTATATTGATGGCCAAGTTAATTCTTACTTTTATTCTACTCTGACTAGAATTAATCACTTGTTATCCTTCAAGTACTATCATTCATGCACAAAGTAACACCAATATGAATGTGTCTGCTGTTTCAGTTGTATCATTATAATACCAGTTCCAATTACTCTTGTTACAGATCATGTTACACCGTGTTGCAATGAAATTAGGTTCACCGTGTAGTATTGCTGGAGCAGCTTGAAGCACGAGTTGGGTTCAATCACTTAAAAACTAATAATATGTATATATAAAAAACAATTATTCAGTTTACACCTGAAGTAAGTGTCTTTCATAACTAAACTCAGTGCCAGAGAACACTGCCTGTTTGTGATTCCCTCACATCTATTGGTAGAACTCTCTCAGACACATTATCACTCTCCCCCAGGAGCTGGCATTAGGTATCATGCAACCAATCCATTTCAAGAGCAAATTTCAGAGCATTAGAATGTTGAAATGTTTTTTGGCATATGTCAGATGGTTAAAAATGCACACAAATATGGCATTAAAGCACTTATAATACATTTTACAATTAAATTGCGTAATTGAAATGTACAAATTTTCACAAGGCTTATTACTTACATAAAATACAATAAAGGTCTCTATATTTATTCCTGTTGGCAGGGACGTAGGTGTGCAATACATTATAAAAGTCAAAACTGTCAATTCTGTAGGGCAGTTAGAAGTACAATAAATTAATAAGATACGCATTTTCAAAAATTGTTTTATCGTTTGTAATTTCCAGTACTTTCTCCTCGTTGATTAATTCAAAGTAAGATGAGTTGTGTGTTTTCTCAGTAACATATGTGCATTCAATACAGTATCAATATAAATAGTTTTAAATAATTAGTGCTGAACATATTTTCTTTATTAGAAAGGGGCTCACAAAAATGTAAACCAGGTTTTGAGTAAAAGATCTTTACTCTGATGGTGAAGTTGCAAGTCTAACAAATTTTGGCAGGGCTCCAGCACTATAAGATGTAGCACTACAACACTGAACAATTTTTCATTCACTTTTAGAATGCCATTGCTTTACACTAGAATCTTTTTTAAACAATTATAAACAGATTTGGAAGTCTAACATGTGTTGGTAGATTGTGTGGGCGTTTTTAAGGTATATAAGTTCAAGCGTGCACATTGCATTCAATAATCAGAAACTTCATGTGATAATACAAATTCAGAACTGGTAAATCTAGGAGACAGCCACACGTACAACAGAAGAACAGATGGATGCTTTTCAAAGCAATAAAACTTGAATAAAAATAAATACTTCAAAACTACAAAAATAAGAAAATGTACACACCTTTCTGGCACAGGTGAGAATTCCAACATAGTCGTCTGGTAAGTGGACCATTTCTAGTATTAAGAGGACAATTCTCTGGACACACACTTGGACAGTCTCTTGGCTCTCGATTATGTTTAATAAAATGACCTCCTTGACCAGCCTTAGCAATAAGATCCCAATCAATACTGTTTACGTAGCAGAGATAAGGATTTTTTTCTATCCGAACCGAGCCTCGAACAATGTCTGTGAGGCTTGAGAGTCCAATCTCCTGAAGCTGGAACATTTCATAGATAACTAAAGCATAATTTTGGAACAATAAATTGCCTCTTATAACTGTTAATTCTGGAAATACCTTTCCAATAGATTCCATTCCAAATGCTCGATACAAAAACAAGTATCCTGTTATTTCACGAAGTTTTGGAAAAGATAGTGTTTCATAGCTTCTGGCAGTACCATTATCAATCAAGACAATTCGAAGAAATCCTTCAACTACTGTGCAGTTTTCAAGCTTCTTGAACTGATCCACAGAGTTCCTGATATCTATGTTCCGGCAAACTGGAAAACATAAAAGTTCTGCTTAATCAGAATTATGTTATTTACAAAAACTTTAAATCTTCAAATTATATACACCTGTACTAACTACAGACAGTGCACATCAAGATATGTTTACTTTTAAAGGTAACTAAAAACTAACCAAAGAAAACTGTTCAATGATGACTTTTTATTTAAAAATACTTTACATTTAAGATGATCGAGTTCAAGTAAATAATCAATCTTTAATTGAAAAAGAAATGATGAAAATTAGTATACAGCATTATTACATATAGTGTGTGTGTAATGTTATACTCAAGAGACTTGATGATACCTACATTTAAGACATGCCTAAAATGTTAGTCAGCTTACGGCAACAAAACCATACATTCAAATTTGATGACGAGGAACCCACTTTGAGACTAATAATGGTTGGAGATGGCTTGAATGGGTAATGAAGAAAAACTTTAATATAAGTTTAACATAACAGCAAATGTAC